TACTTAATTTATTTTTAATTACTAATGTCATAAAATCTTCATATGCTTCATTAGGATAATTTACATTCACATCAGACTCAGGTTCTAAAATATCTTGATTTATTATTGAATCTTCAGATATAATATTTTCAAAATTACTACTATGGTTGTCACTTAAAAGTAATTCTTCAACAGGCGGAGGGAGATCTTTATATAAATTTTTGTCATTCATCTAAAATAAATGATATATATATTTATATTTAAAAATATTTTAAAAAATTATATTACAATACTTTGTTAAAAAACGTACTTCAATAGAATTAAAAATCTCTTCACTTTCTAGCTAAACATCATTAATATCTATAATAGAATCATCACTTTCATCACTGATAGATTGATCGCAAATATTAACATGCTGGCTATACCCTAAACGACTACTAAATATACGTTTACAAAATGTGCATTTGTAATTAACCATTTGTGATTTTATGTAAGTATGATGATTTAAATTATTGTTAAATTTATTAATTTTTTTTCCTTGATCCTATTCAAGAAGATATTGAGATCTATATATAATGATTTTTATCTATTAAAGGATGATGAAATTTAATATTAAAATTAGTATTTTCCGCTAAATAGCTTATATTTGCGAATAACCTTCATATTCTAATTTCTGTGCTGTATCTAGATATTTCAGGTGAAACTAATTTCGCTAAATTGATCTGCAAAAATATATCTAAATTAGAGTTCGTAGGCTTCGGATAGGTTTCAAATCATAGCCAGGCCAAATGTTTCAGATTTTGAAAAATGGTTTTGCCCAAAATACTAACTGTACCGCTCAGCAGCTATTTTTCAGAAAATTTAATTTAATTAAAAAATACATAAAATAATAAAAAAAATTATAAAGATTTGTGAGATTATGCATTTTATTTAATGCTTATATTTGTGAATGTTTACTTCCCAGAATATTTATTATATTTAAAATAAAAAATAATATTATTATTAATAAAAAAAATTAAAAATAATAAAATAATAATAATAATAATAATAATTAATGATTTAAAAAAATTTATAAATGTTTTAATTTTATGCTACTGCATTAGTTACTGCACTAGTTCTAGCTAACTCTTCAGTAAATGTAACATTTCTGGATAATGATCAGCCTCATGTCATTCTGCTAACCCTATCATCATCATCACTTTCATCACTTTCTTCTTTATCACTTTCCCTTCCAAAACCTCTATTCTCTGCAATCCTTTTCTAAAAAATTAAAAGAAATTTTAATATTATTATGTAATATCACGTAATATTACTTAAAACTTTGTATACTTACCAAATTTCTTCACACTTGACTTTTCATAATTTTACTGTTAACTTGAATAATTTCATTGTCTGGATCTAATATAACTTTGCATATGCTGACTATGTATACAATCTGTGGTTTTGGCGTATTTCTTGAATTCAGTCAAAGTTTTCTAAAATTCAGGACAAATACAATGGACTCCTAGGTTGTCTATCATTATTAAATGGCTTACATAAATTATAAAAGCATTGCTTGATAGAAGCTAATACTTTCCAGTTATGTATTTCAGTTGAATTTGCATTAGTACTTATCGGGGGTAAATACATTTCCCCAAATACAGTGAACAAAGCTTCCTTTATTCTGGAAGTCAGTGAACTTCAGAGACTTCTATGCTAGTATGTAAGCTATTAAAAAATAAATTTATTGGTTATTTAAAACCTAAATTAATAAAGCAGATTGTTCTAATATTACCTATCGATCTATGTTTTTGTTGTAAAAAATCCACCAGCGGATTTCACTTAAGTTTTCAAAAAATTCACCATGGTTTTTAATCATGTAATCTATCGTAGCATCATAAAATTCATCCTTATTAGGATATATATTTTTGTTAAATAAATTTTTCGCAAAATTATTTACGATGTCCTAAATAAATTAAATATTAATGGTAAATAATAGTAATATAATATAAATATAATATAAATATAATTAAATATAAAAGATTTATTACCTTTGCGAATTTCTTATTTAGATTCTTTTCTTCGTAATCCACCTCCATTTTTTCAAACCTCTCTTCTGTCTCGTTAATAATTCTTCAATCTTCTCTTTTATTTCCGTATTTTGTCTTAAGATTCTCTCCAAAATTCTTGTGGTCCTATCTCCATCTGTTTTGATTCTTTGATTAAAAATAATAATAATTTAAATAAAATAAAAAAAATAATAAAAATAATTACCATCTAGGTTGATAGGACTATTTCTCCAAATGTTTGTGTAATCAGTCTCAGATGTTCTTTCTCTCATTCTCTTTGGTTGTAAAGTGGTGGATTCAGCTTCATTATTATGCCTTTTACTTTCTAAGACCAAATTACTAAAGGTTGTTCTAGTTTTTGCAACAGATTTTATGATTCTTGGCATTTTAAATTTCGAATTAAAAGAATTGCGTAGTTAATTGAGTTGATGTGTTGATGCTGTTTTTGTTGTGTATATAATTAGTAGAGATTGAGAAATACTTTGCATATTTATAGATATTTTTCAAAATACAAAATTTTATTATTATAAGAATAATTTATAATAATTAAAATGCAGGATCAAACGCGTTATATTAAGAAGGTAATATGTATAATAAATAATTTTATTTTATTATGTTATAACAATTACATGATAAAAATTTAAAAATAC